CCGCGGGCCGGCCCGAGGCCGGAGCCGCGCTTGCCCGACGGGCGCCGCGCACTTCCCGTGGGCCCAGGGCGGCCCCGAGCCCCGAGTGGAGCCGGAGGGCTGTGGCCCGCCGGGGGGGGGGACAGAGCCGCGGGGCCCGTTTTCTCGGGTTGCTTGCCCGGTCCGAGAACCGTCCGAGTCGCGGGCTGAGGGCTGCGGTGCAGCACAACCGCAGCCCAATGCTGCTGAGCCGCAGCCCGCGCCGGTCGGGGTGCCCCTCGCCGGATGTCCTGCCAGCGGCCTGCGAAGGACTGCGGCACGGGAGCACCCAGGGCCAGTTTTGCGCCGAAATGCAGTGGTGGTGCAGGAGCTGTTTCCTACCTAGTAACGTGTTGTTGGTCTGGGGCCAGCAGCTCCGTGCAGCGGCACTGGATGAGTGGTGTTACAACACTGGCAGTGGAGTAGTCGACTGAGTGATGGTGTCACAGCAAAACTGAGTCCTTTGAATGTTACGAGGGTATCGCAGGGATTGGCAAGATGCTTGTTAGTCACTAGAGCTAAGCGCATGCAGAATAAGGAAGAGAGAAGTTTGTCCTTGGGATCTGAACAGAAAATTACATTTTAAGCCCTGTAGCAAAGGGGGAACATGGATTTTATTTCTCCTACAACTCCAGGGGATCAAGGTGGCTTGGGATAGCCCAGAGGTCTTGTCTGTCGTGGTCCTAAAGAGAAAACAGTGAAGGACCCTACTCCATGCTAGTGAGACCCCACCTGGAGTACTGCATCCAGCTCTGGACTCCTCAGTTCAGGGAAGACACAGATCTATTGGAGCAGGTCCAGAGGAGGACCACGAAAATGATCAGAGGGATGGAACACCTCTCCTATGAAGAAAGGCTGAGAGAGTTGGCGTTGTTCAGCCTGGAGAAGAGAAGGCTCCAGGGAGACCTTACTGCAGCCTTCCAATACTTAAAGGGGGCTTCTAAGAAAGGTGGGGTCAGGCTTTTTAGTAGGGCTTGTAGCGATAGGACAAGGGGTAATGGTTTTAAACTAGAAGAGGGTAGGTTTAGACTAGATATAAGGAAGAAATTTTTTACAGTGAGGGTGATGAAACACTGGAACAGGTTGCCCAGAGAGGTGGTAGATGCCCCATCCCTGGAAATATTCAAGGTCACATTGGACGGGGCTCTGAGCAGCCTGACCTAGTTGAAGATGTCCCTGCTCAGTGCAGGGAGTGTTGGACTAGATGGCCTTTAAAGGTCCCTTCCAACCCAAACTATTCTATGATTCTATGACCTGGGTGCAAAGCCGTTCTCTTGGCCATTGGGGAGTCTTTGTATGCAGTGCCCTGCAGAGAACTGTTTAAATCCCATGTGTATAGCTAATCCTGGCTATTCTGGTCCCAGTGTCTAGTATTGGGAGTGGCCGTAGGGGTTGCCAGGGAGCTGCAAGCTGCAGAGGGAGCACATTACATCTATAGTCTGCCTGTGGTTTTCAGGGCAGACAGATAGTGCTACTGTGTAGTAACACTAGCTGCACGGAGAAAACACAAGTGGAGAACACGATCACTTGCAAGCTGGTTTTGTTCAGTTTCTCAGGGTCAGGTGCTATCATTTGATGTTGTACAAGTTTGTGGCTATGTCATGTCCTTGCCTGAAACTCATACTAATGAATCTTGAGTGCTGGGTGACTAGGATTTGCATTTGGAATGGGAAGTGAAAATAAAATTTTTACTGAAATGCATCCAGCTTTAAGAGTGTCGGACAAAGCTCTGGAGAGACAGGACGTGCGCTATTTTCAGCCACACTCTGGTGAGAGATCCATGGTGTATGTGGGGGGGCACAGAGGGTGAGATTGACATGACACGTGTGTAGGACAACTCTGGCCCATTACCAAGAGCAGAATCAAATGTCTAATCATAGGCAGAGCAGCAGCTGAGAGTCCAGAAGAGCAGGGAAGGCTGGGCTTGACAGTCTCAACTCTCCTCTTGCGTGTGTGTGAACTTGAAGGAGAAAGTGAGCAGAGGGCCTTTTGGGGGACTGCAGAGTCGTGGTGTGAATTGTGAAGATGGGAGTAGCAGATATCACCTGTTAATAACTGGAGTCTGTTTTGAAGTTGGGAAGACAAAATATCCAAAGCCCAGAAATCATGGGAGCTGAAGAAGAAATGCTCATCACTCTGTCTGGAGGTGCTCCCTGGGGCTTCCGGCTGCAAGGGGGTTCAGAGCAGAAAAGACCCCTTCAAGTGTCAAAGGTAGGACCTTGAGATGTGAACTGTGAGAGTTGTTCTGCTGAACTCAGATATCCTTACTGAGCTAGGCATCTTCCACTACCGTTAAGGAATGCAGGAAAGCCTTACTGTGGCAGCAGATCTTAAAAGGAAAACTTGGGTGGAATTGTCAAGCAGGGTGTGGGGTGGGATACAGGTCCTGAAATAGATGCTGTTGAGGTAGTGACAAGTGTCAGGTGAAGTACCTGCTTCAGTGCAGGTCTGTACAGCTCAGACACTTCATAATCTGTACAACTCTCCCCAGTTGCCAGCAGAGATATAGCCGTAGTGACAGTGCAGGAAAAAGGGCTCAAATATGGAAGCTTCAGTACTTGTGCAAGACATCCAGCTAAAGAAAAAATAATTTAAATCGAAGCAACAAAAGCCATATTTGTAATTCTGTTCAACTGTCCCTGACACTTCATTATTATATTCCAGCTTTCAAAATAGACACACATTTCTTAGGGTCTTTTCTGCTGGTGAAACTTTCTCAGTACTGTCTGAAGTGAATATTTTTAATGCTTTAAGCAGCAAATATTGGTTCTGTTTCAAGAATTAAAGGAAAGCAGTTATTTGGATGGGCGATGAAATAATAAAAAAGGAATAAACACGAACCTTGAGTTGCATTACTTTTGATAAGCAGCTGTTACTGTTCTCCTTTCATAAAGACTACTGAGTAGCTTAAAAATTAGGAAAAAAAAGCCCTCTGTTTATTAAGCTCATAACAGCTGCATTAGCCTTGACACAATGATATCTTGGGATGTCTCACTGGAAGGCACCCAGCAGCAGGAATGAAAAAATGCTATGCCCAGCTCCTTCTGTTTCCTTAAGTAGACTGTGCCTCTGACAGAGAATTTTAAAATGAAATGTTCTGTGTCATTTGGCTCACCATAGGTCAAGGAGTGTTTGCCTGTATGTTCTGCCAAATGGTTTGGAAGAACATACATTGGCCTTGAAGTAGATGTTTCTTACATAGCGAAAGACAATTTTTCTCCAGGAAAACAACTGTGCATATCCACAGAGCTGCAGGTGCTGGAGAGAAAAAAACAATATCCTTGAAACAGGTATCTGGCATCAGTGGTTGTTAGGAAAATGGGATTTTCAGTGGCCACATAAACTCTGTAGGATCTAGGATTATTTTGACTCTCGTTTTTTCCCGCAATAGACAAGAAACTGGGACTGAAGAGGGAGGAGATAGAGTGTCTTACAAAGATTACTCGGGATTGAACAGCAGCATGAACTAGCCATTACCCAGGCTAAGTTGCACCTTAAGGTGAATGGAATATTGCTCAAGGATTAGTAACCCTTCCAGAAAGGTATTAACTAGAAGTAGCTCTCACCCAGAACTGGGTGTCATACCTTAAGCCTAGCAATACAAATATATATATATTTTACAATACTTGGATATTGCATTAAAAAATAATTCTGGAAAATAGAATTGATATCCATTTGAGGCTCAAAGTATACTTCAAGCAGGACTTTGATTTTGTAATTATCATTTTGGGCTATTATTGTCCAGAATTTAACGGCATCCAGGTGACCATACATACTCACTGTCTTAAAGGCAACATCATTTAAACAGTCTCCAAAGAAAGGATTTATGGATCCTTACCAGGAACCCAGGAAGATCATACCTGAATGTAAACTGCTTGGAAGAGAATAAACCCACAGGAGTCATGGAGTAACCTAATTGTCCTCCTCTCACAACGCGGAGAGTAGACGTTTGAATCTCAGTTTTCGGCTCTTTCAGTTGAAAGATCAACCCTTCATTCTTCTGCAGTTAGGATTCTGCTATTGACACCAGCAGGATGAAGCCAAAATGCTGCCTGCAAAGCGTGTTCCAAAACTCTTAACTTCATTAGCACTGTCCGTTTGGATATTTTAGGAGCCAAAGATGGGAATGGTCTCATTGCTAAAGAAGCCTGACCAGAGATTGTAGCCGTATGATATAGCATAGAGAAACAGGGCAGTATTGTCTGTTTCTCTATAGGTTTGTAATGGCTGGGACCCATGTGGATTAGCAATTTGCTCTGTTTGGCCTCCATCCGGGAGATCGGTGCCATTGGGAAGTGTGGTCAGAGGGAGGTGTCACTGAGATTGAGCCTGCCTAGCAGAGGTAGGGTCAAATAACAACACAATGTTCATTAGTAGGGTGAAGAGTGTGTTGTGTGGTTATGGAAAGACAGATTAGATAAATGAGAGGGTCTATTAGTAAGCTTATTGCTGGCAAAGGACTCTTGGGGAGAAAGAGAAGTGTTCATATGAGACCAGGAAAACTTTGGCTTAGCAGAACAGAAATACTGTTCTTACAGCAAAAGCTATTTGGACAGAACAGGAACATGGATGAACCTGGAGAAAATGTGATAGGACATACAGGCATGAATATCTGATAGGTGCCAGGAGATAATTGAGTGGATATGGTTGGTGTCTCAGGGGATTCCAGTGGCATCATTTTAGGCAATTTCAACTTCTAGACTAGAAAAGTCATAGTAGTAACACTAAGGAAAGATGCTTACCATCAGATGCCAAGTCAAATTGTTTCTATATACCTTTCTGGATGAAAAAGAGTGATAAAAATCTAATTTGGGAAATGAATCAAGTATAACAAGTTATATATAAATTATATACATTTTAGTTAACGTAGAGATGCGGGAATTGCTAGACCAGACTAGGTTAATGGTCACTCCATCTTCTGATTCCCGTTTCCTGCAGGTGTTTTAGAGGAAGTTGTAAACTTCACGAACGCATCTAATTTTCTAGTACTGCAATACGGAGGGAAATTCTTTCACCCCAGCTGATTATCAGCATGCCCTACGAAGTACATAAGAATTGACAGTCCTGGTGGTTTACCCTACACATAAACAGATAATTATTTGTGAACAGCTAGTGCTTTACTTGTCTGACTAAATCTTACATGGTTTCCTAATGAAGATTAGATAACATCAAGCAGCCAGGCATTCCAAAGACAAAATGTTGCACAAAGTGAGATTTCCTGTTTTGAGTCACTCTTGTTGTATTACAAAGCCCTGCATAATTCATCATCTTACATGATTGATTTACACAGTCATAGGTCTTCTTGCCTTCTTTCTAAAGTTTACATCATCATCATCTTTTTATTGTTTCTGTATGTGGAGATTATGATAAAATCAATCACTAATTGCTGTTCTTGGTATCCTTTTTTTGTTTTCCTGAAAATTCTTCGGGTCTACTCTATGCCTTCTTTTTTCTTTTTTCTTTTTTTTTTTTTTTGACATTAGAATGTTTTCAGCATTATTCTCTATCTTCTTCAAATACATCGGTCAGCCTCTTCTTGATTGTTCTGTCATAAGCTGTTCACAACAATGGCTTAAATGATTGGCTTTTTTCAAATTGCAGCTAACTCAGAACGTACAGTGAGCATATGCATTTTAAACCGTCCTTTGTAGCGCAAAGTATTCAACTGGCTGCAACTAATTAAAGTAAACAAACATGTTGGAAGTGGGGTGTGAACCCATTTTTCTTCAGACTGAAAGGATGCATAGCTGTAGTTCAAACCATTTGACCAAGCAAGGGATCAATTCTAAACTTCAGTCCAGCCACACAAAGGGGTAGAAGAGCAGCTGGATCTTCACACGCTGGATCCAGCTGCCACAGAGCTTCTGTGCCATCCAACTCCCTGTGGGTTATGTGTTCACGGACATGCCTAGAGCAAGGTGCTGGAATTATGTGTCTTGTGGACAGCCTCTTGAGTCATACATAACTAGCTTTGTGTTCAAGTAACCTTACAGAGCCTTACCAGCTCTGCTTGCCTCAGTGTCAGGGAAACGCACATTGCTTCTTCCAGCAGTGCCCAGTGGATATCGAGGAATAAGCTCAAATTTCAATAACATAAGCAAGACTGAAATGCTAGTATTAATGCCAACTGACTATATGGTTCCAGATCTGTAACTGCAAATGTCCTTTTGTCTTAAACTTGCCTACAAGAGCACATACTGACTATTTGTTCCACCCAGACAATCATTTGCAGTGTCTGGGTGCTAAAAATGTCTGATGTGTATATGAAGAATACCATACTGATGTGTATATGAAAGAGATACCATAGCAATTCAGTCTCATAAAAACAGATTCTGTAAGAGTCGAGGGTGAGACAAAGAAGAAGCAAAAGAAAATTTATTGGTGTCTGGGGACCCCTCAGTAAGAAAGAATAGATGTTTTTTTAAATTAGGCTTGTGTTAAAATATCAACTCAGTAAGCTGAAAGAACAGCAGACATTTATATGCTCAGCAGGCAGATACACAGCAGGATCAAACATCAACAGAGGACATGAGTAATTGCAGAAATTAGGAAGGGTTGGAATATGGAGAACTAGAGAAACAAATAAAGGGGAAAATAAGGAGTAAAGAACCCAAAAAGGAAAGGAAAATGTCCATTTTGTTCTTAGTTACAGCAGTATCATTCTAAGTGAAATCAGCTGAACTACTGTGCATTCATATTTGGCTTATTGTGATTCCTAATCAATCTTTTAACTCTTGCCTAGTGAAGCAGATAAAGTATAATGGAATTTTAGACTACCCCTTACCAAAATAAAGCTGATTTCGTATAGCTCTGTAGCTGTGGTGCCCACGGCAACACAACAAATCTTTGGCCAAAAACAGTCATAAGGAAACAAAGAAAACAAGCATAAAAGCAAGAAACAAAAAGGATCTATAGATGGCAAATTTTTATTTTAGAAAGGCTGAAGGAAAAGTACATGGTCTTGACATGTACAGCATTCCTTGCAAGGAGGAGCTATAAATGATGAGAAGATTCACCCATTCTGAAAAGAGAGTAAGGGAGAACAATACTGTCAGGTTTCTGGAGGATTTCTTTGCAATAAGTATATGTGCATGAAATGCACTTGAAACTAAACAAAATGTAAAATAGCTAGTCTGAGAAAAGTCATCAGATAGGACATAGGCATTAAACCCATAAGCAAGCAAAGTAGAAACATAACATGGAACTATATC